AACCCCACCGAAAAACAGGTTTTAGGGGCTTTGAAAGAGGAAGAGAGGGGTATGTCCAATTCCACCATAAGCCAACCATTCCATAGTGTCCAAATGATATGAGAATTCCCAAAGTCTAAAGTTATAAAAACCACCTAATGTTGCCTAATTAATCAGCGAAGCATCTACCTAAATTCATACTAGTGGGACCATGAATAGAGTACCCACTAGTTGGGGTTTTGTTTATCCTAGGGTGAACAAGGTAATAGTAACAATAACAACAATGATAAGGTCATAACAAAGGTAAATAGGCATGGCTAGATAAAACAGTGATAACGCGGGAATTTAAATAAAGCGATAATGCATTAATTTAAATCAAAATAATTTTATAAACTGGGATTCAATATGCTCAAGGATGATGTGACTTGCCTTGCTCCGAGAGAACGGCCTTCCGAACCTTCGGCGACGACCGCGAACCACGCTTCTGGAACCTCCGGAACGACAGAAGCTACGCGAAGCACACAAGCAAAGCTACAAGCCTATAAAGAAGCAATAACAACACATAAAAAGAAAGCACACAGTTCTTTAGGTTATAACAAACATTAAGAGACTTGAACGGGTCGATTCGGAGCTCGTATGACCAAGATATGATCATCCGAAGTTTAATGCTGTTATATGGAGATTTGCGGATTATTATAATTAAGCTTTGCAACTATAAAACATGTGTAAACGCTAGCCTGGAAAAGACAGGAAGGCTGCGCCGTTGACATGCGGACCCCACATGTCAACCTAAAGGACCGCGGTAGACCGAGTACACAGAGACGGTCCACGGGTCGACGGAAGCAGATCCCGTGTGTCAACCGAGGCGAGTGGCCGACAAACGGACTCTACTAGACACCACACGGGCTGCACACGTGGAAACCACGCGGCTACCGAGCGGGCACACTAACACGGACACTACACGGTCACCACCCGCACACGTGAACGACTACCGACACCGGTACACGGATACCGGGGTCGACAACCGCACAACGGGTACGGGGCGACACCGAAAGGACGAGGACGGGGCAGCGAGAGGAGAGATCCTTACCACCACGCGACGAGGCGTGGGAACGACAACGACGAACGGGCGCGGCGGAGACGGCCGGGAACTACGAAGACGAACGGCGAGGGGACGACTTCGGCGGCGATCCTTGGACGAAGGCGAGACGCGGCCGGCACGAGGCTTGACGACGCGGAGCCGAGGACGAAGACGACGACGGCTACAGCGACCTTGACGAAACACCGAGGACGGACGAGAACGGCTCGACGGAGGGACGAACGCCACGACGACCGGGAGCGACGAGAGGACGACGACGACGACGACCGGGGCCGGCGAGGAGGCGACGAGGGCAGCCGGCAGCGGCTGCACGGAGGCGAGGATGGCGTGGAACACGCCGCTGCGATGCCGACGACGGAGGCGGCGCCGCGAGACGACGAGCCGGCAAGGATGAACGGTGAAGACGACGACGGACACCGGCGGTGTTCGGCCGAAGGGGAAGCGATGCCGAGGACGACGTCGCGGCTGCGATGCCGAAGGTGGTGGAGGTGCGGCCGACCGGTGCACGGGCGAGGAGGGACGGGCGGCCGAACAACTCCGGTGAGGCGGATGGAGAGGTTCGCGGCGACGGACAAGAACGGCTTCCGGGCGAAACCGAGGGGTGGACGAGGTGGAGGGCTACGTCACCGTGCCGAGGGAGGGGACGGCAGCGCCGGCTGACGCACGGGCATGGCGAAAGGGTCTGCCAGAGGAGATGCCGACGAGGAGGAAGGAGAGGCCAGCGCGAGCGACGGCGTTCCGGCGAAATTCGGGCGACGTCGTGGCCTGGCCGGGAAAGAGGACGGCGCTCCGGTGCCGGGAGAGGTGATGGCGACGTCGGCCGGCGCACAGGGGACGCGGCAGAGGCGGCCGGAGGCGGAACAGTGGCGGCAACGCCACTGTCGCCGGCGGGGAGGCACTTCCGGAGGTCTCCGCGGAAAACAGAGGGCAGGCCGGCGAAGAGGAGGCGGCTGCGATGCTGGAGGAGGCGACGGCACGGCCGGCCGGCGTGCTAACGCGGCGGCAGGGGCGGCTGAAGATGGCCGGCGGCACGGGAGAGAGGGGACGACGGCGGGGAGGTGGCTAGGGACCACGGGAGATCGCGGGAGGGGGCTAAAACGATAGAACGGAGCGAGGGGTTTCCGTTTTATAGGATGGGGGAGGGAGCCGGGCACGGGAGAGGGCGGAACGGCGACGGGAAACATGGCCGGCGGCCATGGAAGGTGGCCGGAGTTGGCGCGTCCGTTCCCAGCGATTGGGGGAGCCATTCAAGGGGAAATTAAGGGGGAAAGAGAGAGGAGGGAGAGGGGATTAATTCCCCCTAATCAATTTTGGAATTCCCGGTTTGAATCGCGTGGATTTAGGGGAGGAATCGACGCTAGGTTTCACGGGAGAGAAGAGAGAGAGAGGATGCCGGGCGGGAGGAAGGAGACGACCGAGCAGGTGGGACCCACCGGTCAGGCACGCGTCATCAGCGCGCGCACGTGCGCGGCACGGGCGGGAGGGTGCCGCTCGTCTTGGGCCGGGCGGCCGGCCCAGGAGGAGAGGAGGGGGAGGCGGCCTGGGGGAGAGAGGGAGGAGGAGGGAGTGGGCCGAGGGGAAGGAGAGGAGGCCCAAGAGAAGGAGGGAGAGGAGGAGAGGGAGAGGAATAGAGGGAGGAAGAGAGGACTTTGGCCGCGGGCCGAGAGAGAGAAAGAGAGAGGGGTCTTTGGGCCAAACTTGGCCCAAAGGGAGGAGGGGGATTTATTTTTAGTTTTTCTTTTTAGTAAACTTTGATAATTGTTGTTGTTGTTTAATAAATATTTTTGGTGCTCTGAAAATTCAAGTAAAATTTGAGGGCTCCTTTTAGACCAAAGAGAATTTAACAAAAATTCTCCAGGCCACATTTGAATTTTTCTTGTACGTATTTTAGTGTTTGCCAATTTTTTTCCGAATTTTAATTAATTCTATTATTCCTTTTAGCGAATGATTTTTAATTTCGGGATGAATTTATCAGGACGTGACAGTCGCTTGGAATCCTCCTCGCCCCTTGCGAACCCGTCAATGATCCGAAGTAGGTGCTCAAGCGTCTGTGGTTCCTTGTTGGCGATTTTTCTCGTGAGTTCGCCCTCGAGCAAACCGGCCGATGCGGCATTTATAACCGACGCCTCGGTTATGTCTTGAACTTGGCACCGGGCTTGCGAGAAGCGACGCATGTACTCCCTTATCGACTCCCCCGGCCTTTGGCGAATGCCGAGTAAGTGTTGCTGCGTCTTCGGCTCCTCGTAGGTGCCTCGAAAGTTAAGGACAAAAACATCGCGCAATTGCTCCCATGAGTAAATGCTATTGGCTGGTAAATTGAAATACCAAGAACGGGCGATGCCGTCTAGAGCGAGATGTATTACCTTCGCCTTGGTATTTTCGTCACCATGAGCCGCTTCGATCGCTGACTCGTAGATGGAGAGGAACTCCTTCGAGTCAGTTTCGCCCGAATAGCGCGGGACGGGTGGGAACTTGAACTAGGGTGGGATTGGACGAGTCTTGATTCCCCCACTCAGCGGTAGCCCCTTTTCGCCTCCCACCCTGTTTACCGCACCTTGCTGCGGGTACGGTGTGGCGAAATCGCAGCTTGTGCGTGAGGTTGGGCCATGGCGTTCGGCTGCCCGGCTCCAACTAGTGGTACTTGCTGAGCCGCCATGGACGGGTCAAAAATTGGCTGTGACCACATCATGGCAGCTTGAATTGGTGCTTGGTTTGTTCCGAAGCCTGGAGTCGGAGCTTGCTGCCGAACGGTTGGCGCCTGAGCAGCGTTGACGAAGTCGAACTGCGGTCCTTGATTCCACGGCGAAACTCCCAGGCCCAGCTGAATCGGTGGCAACCAATTAAGCGTACCTTGACTTGTATTCCCCTCCGGGCGGGCCGATGGGGTTGTACTTGAAATGCAGTGGGGTTGGTTGAGTTGCTGAAGGAAAGCTAGGAGTTGCGCCTACAGAGCCGAAGCCCCTTCCGCCACTGATTGTGGCGCTTGGCCAGGTGGTTGATGCTGCCCGGCGAAGTACACCGGCGCCTGTGCGGCTTGTGGCGGAGAGGGCTGGGTCGTCACTTGCGGACGGACTTGAGGTGGGACATAGCCTGCCGAATACTGAAGGATTGGAGCCGACGTGGCCTTGGTCCGCCTTGCCGCCTCGTATGCTTGTTGTTGTTCTTGCATTTGGCGAAGCATGTCTTGGAGCCGTCTCATGTTCTGCCGCATGGCTTCCATGTCGCCTTCGGCTTGTGCTTCGGGGTCAAGGCTGACTTGGGCCTGTACAACGGCGAGCGCAGTTGGGGCCGCTGCCGGCTGCGATGGGGTGGCTTGGGGCACCACCGGTTGGCTTGTCGAAAGGATCTCCGCCTTGGTCTGGAGTGCCCTTGCCGCCGCAGCCGCCTTCGCCACGTCGGCCGCGTTCGGCACTTGCACAGAGGTTGCAGGGGCCGAAGGCGGTTGTGATGGCGCTTGTGCTCCTCCATCTTCGGCCACGGGCGCCGCAGGCTCTGCTCCTTCCTCGGCAGCCATGTCCGGTCCAGCGTCGTTCTCCTTCCGCCTGGCAACCTTCTCCTTCATGACCCTCTTCGGTGGCATTCGCTCTCAGTGGTTTCGCTCGGAGTTCCCCACGGTCGGCGCCAGCTGTTGTCGAAAGGACAACTGCATACGTCGAAAGACGTGATTACTCAACAGTGGTTGGAAAAATGAAATGTATTAAATTTTGAATTTCACTTGGGATCCCCCCATTACATGGCCCTAGGGGACTATTTATAGCTCCATTACAGGTTCTTACTACTAGGGTTTAGGTTGTACAGGGAAATTTACATGATTACCCTTACAAAAGGGACATTTATAGGGGTACATAATGTTATAGGGGCTCATGGGCCCCTGATGGGCCGTCTGGCGATCGCCGGCCCTATAGCCCTTAGGCTTGATGGGCCGGAAAGGCTTCCTCGGCCCTCGCGGGGGCGAACTTGCCATGGCGAAGTCGTCTTCCTTCGGCAGGTAGTCTTCGGCTTACACCCTTCGCCTAAGACGCCTCTGACCTGGCAAGGCACTCGTACGACTCTTCGCCTCGTGCCGTTCTTGCTTCATAGCCTTCGCCACGGGTTTCGGCAGATTTAGTCGAAGGGCCTCATGCCATCCGCCAACACATAAGTATGTAGAATAGAACTACAAAATAAGTAAGAATCGATAAGAATTGCTAATACATATATACAAGTAACATCCAATCTAATCAATAAGGTCAGGGATTGTCACGCCCGGAACTTCTATCCAAAATTCCAAACGCTTACATGTGTGTTAAATCCTCGTCCAGGAATCAGCCGAGGCACACAATAACAAATTGATAATAGAGTACTCTTAAACAACTAATTAATATTCGCAAAATAGCAAATTATTACAGAGGTGGATAGTTCCTCTCAAAAAATAAAATTCTACGCAGCAGAAAATAAAACAAACTACGGAACAGCTATGGCGACTCCACTCCACAGGCAACTTAACCCGGACCAAGCCTAGTCCTCCAGATCATCACCTTCACTCAAGTACACCTCCTCTAATGAATGAATATTGCAAGAATGAGCATATGACATACTCAACAAGCCACACAGCAAATATGCAAGTGCATAGGATAACAAAGGATGGCATAATATAGCTCATTTGCATAAACAGCATTTAATAAATATTTAAGAGAATAGTAAAACAGTTGAATAATTAATCAGTATTAAGTAAACACCATACAACACACCCGTGTTGCATATGCCCAACCTCATCTGAACAACCAACCCCGGTTGTACAAATCAAACCTCCATACCAGGAATATACCATTCCAAACCAGGAGTCAAATTAATTATCACAATTACCATCAATGAATAATGTGAGACTAATTACGAAAAACATTGTTAGACCCGCCCATAACCGCGGGCACGGCTATTCGAATAGTTTTACTCTGGCCAGAGATGTACCACTGTACCCACAAGACACAGTTCCACAACATGTTACCATGCGCCTCAATACCACCACGGTACCTCGGAAAGGAACTGTGACAATACCCCTCGCACAACACAACTCACCACAGTGCACCATACCTGGATCATAATCACCCCCTCTACAACCAGAGGCATGGACTCCCCAGCGACCCCCCACGGACTTCTCGCCGCTTCTCAGTCTGGCACCCCATAATGAACCATGCTATACAAAAGGTAAAGCCGTTGCCCACGCTGGCTTGTGGTTGGCACGGTAAATGTTTCACAACAGTAGCTCGTGAACCGGTCCTTAATTGTCATGAGCACGACCATCAAAACCATGCGCTCACAACCCACCTTTAATCAGGTTTTAATTATTAATTAATTAACATAACACGATTAACCATCGTGAGCTACCATTAAGTATAACCATAAGTAATAATGTAGTATGATTCATCCCATTAATGAGCTTATGTTTCTAAGCATGGCTAAGCAATTATACATATATAGCATTTAGCTGAACCAAACCAATATATAAGGTTCTAGCTAATCAAATTATAACCCATAGGAAAATACAGTCATCTTCGGCCATAATTAAATGGGAAAAGGCTCACCACCCGATGGCATTCGAAAATAATGCATAAGTTGAAATAAAACATTAGTTTTAAACGGGTTCAACATGCTCAAAGGTTTGTTTGGGATCTGTGTGACTTGTCTTGAGCTTCCACAAAAACCTCTAAACCTTCCTCAACTGAAACGCCCTCCAACGAAACGTCGGAAACTAAAGCAAATAAACAAAATCAACAAAACAGTACAAAAACAAGCATGAACAATACATGTGGATATTTTTAACATGTAGATCTAGATTTTAGATGAATTTAGCAACTTGAACCACTTGAATCGGAGCTACGGTTAATTAGTTATGATTTTCCGAAGTTTTAATCTATTAAAAAAAACTGAAAAATAGGAGATGATGACGTCAGCATGACGTCATCAATGGCGGCCGGCTCGGATGGCGACCTCGCCGACGGCGGCGCTCCGGCTGCTTGCAACGGCAGCGAAGGGGCGGACGGTGCGCGGCTTCTCCTCGCGAACCCGGAGATAGCGACGGCGACCGGCGACGACCACCACAGCGACGGCGCGGGGCGGCTGGAACGACGATGGCAACGGCGGCGGCTAGGGCGTCGCGGCGGCTGCGCTACAAGCGACGGCGGGGCTCGGGACTTGGGGCAAACGAAAGAGGACGACTAGGGGATGCTTTATATAGGCATGGGTGAGAGAGATCGACTCCAAACGAGAGGAATCGAAACCGGAAAATCTTCGGGTTAGTTTGGAGAGATAAACCGATTCTTGGGGGAAACGAAAGAGGTAGATAAGGGAAATATTTCCCCTCAACAAATTTTAGGAAAACACAAGAGAAAAGGTTGGATTTGGAGGAGAAAAACCGAGCCAATTCGGTCTCAGTTCGGCTGCTAGAGGTAGAAGATGAACAGTGCTGAGGGAGGCAAATTAGATTTTCGGCTGGGCTGAGAAGGGGAAGAGCAGCTCGGCTTGGGCCGGCTTGGGCTGCACAGCACGCACACGAGGGGGAGAGATGTTGCCAACAGCTTAGGAGAGGATTTTAAAAACTTTTAAAAATACTTTCCTTGCTCAAATAATTCCCAGAAAAATCTAGAAAATAAATAAACAAGCAAAGTATTATCGAGATTTTATCTAACTCAGTTTTATGTTACAATTTCTCCTAGATTATTAGAGTTTAACTTGAAGGCTTTTTAAAATAATTTCTAGAAATGATTTAAAATATGGATTATTAATTTAGTCGATTTTTAGGGCGTGACAGGGATACACTTTACTGTAGCAATCGATCTTGTCCGTTTGCTATGATCAGACGGCTGAAAACACCTCAAAAGTCATAACGTTCAATACTCACGGGATGTCGATAATTTCAGATAAGCTTGGCGGGGCTTCACTTGTGACATAGCGGCCTAGTGTTAACCCAAACTCTGCCACATTGCCGAGGCCATGATGAACCAAGAGCAGCCAGATGAAGGTGAGGAGCTCCGATCCGTTGTCCAACCGACGCGCGTGGAGCTCACCGCGGCTCTTGCTGGCAGCATAGATGAGGAGGAGTATCCACGTCTCCTTCACCAACTTCAATAATGTGCCACTGACCCTAGTAATATAAATGAGTTCCCTAGCAACAACAATGAGGTCAGAGTTTGTGTTGCTTGTCATTTGCTCAAGAGCTTTGAGCAGTAAGTCCATCCTTGCGTGAGGATCCAGCTTGCCACCAGCATATTTGTACATGTCCACTAATTTAGCCATATAGTTCAAATGTTCCATCACAGCGTAATCACTGCTAACAGGCAACATGGAGGGGTGTGCTAACAGGAGGTACATCATATAGTTTGATAGCATCACACATTCCCATACAATGCCTGTCTTTTCTTCCCAGATGCCTGGTTCAAGTAATAGTACTGAAGTTGTATAAATATCTGTGAACAAATGCAGTTGAATGATGCCGACCTCAAAACGCTGAGATATGCTCAACAAGTTCAACCTGACATCCACATTCCCTTCTTTAGAGACCCCCATAATTACCTCATCCTGATCATTATTGGATGGTCTATTATTGAAACAATCCACAAAACAACCAACAATCTCAGTGGCCTCAACGTGTTTCACATGACGTACATCTCTATAGATCTTCTCCAAGCCAAATGCATACAACGCATTGGACATTATCCTGGGTGTGGACCCATCATGTAAAGCACATGTTGCTAGGCTAAATTGCCCCAAAGAAATTGGCACAACTGACCTCTCCTCCTTTGCTCCAATGATCTTCCCAATAGCAAGCAAATTAACATAATTGTGCCTTCTCCAACGTGCCCATGTTAGTGGAGATGCCACTACCACACCAATGGCACATGCTTCCATAAGAAGGGCACCAGCAAATAGTGTGTAGGTGATTGCAACATCAGCCATTCTATGGCCATGCTTTGGGGTTACTAGGAATAGCACAAATGCAACAACCATAGCGATGTGGGAAATACACCGTAGTATGCAACCGATCCATGTCTGGAGTATCATTGCCTTGGTGTAGAGGATGTCATACATCATGCTAAGCTCCAGCTCTATTATCTTTGCTTTCACATATTTTTCACACCTTCTTATACCATGTGTTAGTTCCTTTCTTACTTTTTGGCCAAGTTGTGAGACCGTGACCCCCGCAAATAATCCTCGAGCATATAGCACCATTTGATGAGCATAGAATACCTTGCTAAGATAGCTTCCATATTTATTATCCTTTTGCTCTTCCTGTTCTTTGTCTTTGTAACCACCAGCTGAGCTTTGAAGGCCATCTATGCTCCCGCACTTGAGTGCCCATGTCCTCTCCCCATACTTGATTATACCAGCAACAAATATGAAAATTGCAGGAACTACTAGCTGCAAACTGATCTGACCAAATGAATTGCAGAAGGCATACAAGGCTAGACTGACCTGAACAACGAGATTCAATAGGTGTCTTAGCCATAGATTGTTGTCTTCGATAGAGAAGGCAGTGATGGTATCTTGCCCACCAAGATGAACAAGGAGAAATGGAACCCAGATGACTGTCAAGGAGTCACTTCCAATTTTGGATTTGTATTCATATCGAGAGAGGAGACCAAGGGCATAAACAGCAACTAGGTCTGCTCCCACATAGGCCAGCCAAATGAATATCAGTATCAATTTGTTGGTTCTACGGCGTCGGAGGCCTCCAGTGAAGAAGAGAAAGAGCTGAAGGAATAGACTCAAAAGAATCATCAATTGGATTTCCCATCCACTCCATAGTTGCACCAGATTGGCTCATGTTCGCTTCATACTGTAATCAATGATCGATGATGGTATCTGTCCCTTGGGCTACTGTTTGTTGCATATGTTCAAATGTTAGTGACAAAATCATGTACTGAAAATATTAAAAAGCCATATATTACAAGTAATGCAATCACATAGGTCATTTATAACTTTTTTAATTAGTATGAACTAAATAATTTTCTCAACAATAAACTATGTATTTCACGTACCAAAATCATTGAAGAAAGTATTAAAATGATTAAAACAAATGTAGCATACATCAAATCCATGGAAAGTGTGGAAAAGCGCATATGTGGTTTGTTTTGTGTTTTCATATCTATATTTTCTATAAAGTTAAAGCTCACTAAGTCTAAAGCTCAATATGCAAATATGCCACCTCGTCATCCACGAGCAATAACTACTTATCAAAAAAGCTCATGCAAACATGCAATATCATCCATAATTTATTTAATTCTACAAATCAAAATGCAAATAGATCCAATCATCACCTCTCTCATCATTTCCGCAATATTTCAACAAATATATCCATCATTTTTATAATAGTTAACATACATTCATCCATATATCCCGTATCAAAGCAGAGATATTATTTAGTTTGTTACATGTTTACTACTAATAAATCCTTGCTTTTTATTTCTTTTTTCCCTATCTTTTGTTTCTTGTGATATAAATCTTGGCCAACAACCTAAATTTCATGTATAATCTTTTACAAAGCCTATTAAATTTATTTCTCTCCAAACATGGCCAGACAAATCAGTTTTATTTGTTACTAATAATTAACATCAAGCTTACTCCTTGCTCGATTATTGAAAAAAACATATATATTTAAAATTACTTAGTAATTCCCACAGCAAAGTGCGAGGAATCACCTAGTTGTTTATTAAAAAATAATGGCGTAAAATCAAAATATTTGATTCAATGCTTCTCTTTGCAAATTTAGCGTCATATGTTGGAAACCTAATCTATCTCTTCAATAAAATCAATATTAATAATACAAAATCCCAACGTACTTGTGCAAATCGTGATGGGCCATATTGGCAATGTATATCTTTTATTGTGATATTATCAACTAAATATCCTTCATAGGAAAATGCTTTAACCACTCTTACTTTATATGCAGTAATCACTGCTACGAAAACTATTTTCGCATGTGGCCAAAGTAGATCTTCTTTGCATGCGGCCAGCTGCTCCGTCTACGATCAAAGGCTATTTTCAAAGGCGGGTGACCAACTAAGTTATGTTGTCGCCTACGAAGAATGTTTAAGCGCTAAACAAATCAACAGCCGCTTGACGCCTGTTGATGGTCGTTATAGACCAATTTCAACCGTCAATATACTCAAAATAAAGGAGAACTAGATATGCTTACAATGTATATTTGTTTTAGAATAATTTACTTGTACTTGGATTCTATTTGATTTCAGAGATTGCTATATAAAGAGAAGGAGAATCGACGGAAAACAAACGAACAACCAATCGAAAGCCGTCGAGAGGTAGATTTGTGGATAGATGGGCCTACAAATCCAGAGAAATAATCTCAAAAGGCCCAAAACACCACGTCACTGGACTGAGGAATCAACGGGGAGGAGGCCTGCCAAAAATTGGGCAGATTGGGCCAGGTCACGGTTCGGCCAAACCCCCATCACAGCCGTTAAGGCTAGTGTTTGGCATGGACATTCAGGATTCACTTCCAACAACGGCTGTAGGGCATTTCCGACCTTTCCATCTGCAATAACCATCATACTCAGTCTATAAAAGGAGCTCACCTCACTCACTTCTCCACAGACTCAACAAGAAGATCAAAGCTCTCTCTCAAGTTTAGTTAGTATTCTAGTGCTAGTGGAGTAGGAAATAGAATAGTTTTCTTAGTCCTCGAGTCTTCAGGAGAATTCGGGTATGGCTCTAGTATCTTCTCTCTCTTTTGTAAGACTTACACAATTAATGGAATATGCTTCTTTATTCAGTTTTGGTATTTTACTTCACTCTTATTATTTGGGTACCGACTTCACTTTACATTTATCTCGATATAATTGTGTAGCTAGCTTACCAGAGATATGCAATGGTGTGGGTATAATGACCATGCAAATGATTGCTCTATGTCATGGTAGCGGATATAGAGTAGTATTTGATAATTTAAGCATGGTGCTTAGATTATTAAATATCATTATTTTGGGTTATATGCTGCGGGACAACAAAGGTTGGCCGCTGATGGTGACAGCTCAGTACGAGTATTCCTCCATGTTAGTATATAATCCTAAGTTAATTTCATGGTATGGGTACTCCTCCATATTTATTTTCGGTTGGACGGCCATGACGGGTTGTCGTAAGGGACTCGACAATCAGGGGTGGTCACTTGAAATACCAGGAGGGCTTAGTTAGGGGGTATTGGCTACATGATTGTATACTAGATAGTGTAAATTAAAGATACCTGTATACTGGAAGTATTAGGATGAATTCTTTTCTTATTCTTTCTCCACTTAGCCTAGGATTTATTTAATGAGAGTAACTTACTTCTTCTTCTTCGTGTCACTCTACCCTTGAATTAATTAACACAAGCTTAGACTGTGACTTATATAGGTAACATATAAATTATTAATTATTAGTATAGTCTTCTCTTATCAATCTTCCATTGAGATTAAATAAATACGATACCTTGGAATACTTCGGGGTGAAATGCTACAATGGTATATCCGTGCGCTTGCGGATCTTTCTGCGCACTAACCGTAATATACCAGGAATATTTATGCGCCATTGCTGGGATTTATATTTCTATAATGTCGTTAAGAAACACTAACAAACATTTTTGGCGCCCTTGCTGGGAAGATTAATAAAGAGATTACTATATGCTACTAACTTTATATTTACCTCTGTATAGTCACTGTCCTTTGCAGGCTAACCTTGTTTTTTTTTCACTTTTGCTGTGTATGGCTGGTTTTGATTTGACGAAAAACTTCCAAGACAATTCAGATGCTTTCTTCAGGAGTGTGAAGCCGCGAGTTGTCCCTCTGCAGAAAGCTCTTTCGACAAAGAAAGCAACCATCCCAGTGTCACCGAGCTTCAAGAATATGGCTGAGAAGACCCTCCGCTATTTCACTGCACCCTCTACTGACAACGTGCCGGTTGGGCCGCAAATCAACTTGGGGGATGGCGATTTCGATCTAAACACCAGCCTCATTACGATGGCACAGGCAAGCCCATTCTGTGGCAAGCCTAACGAGAATGCCAAGTGCTTATCTTCAACAGTTCCTGGAGATCTGCAGCACGTACGCAATGAAAGGCGTCAGCCCAGACGCCGTCAGGATCAGACTGTTTCCGTTTTCCCTTCTAGGGAAGGCGAAGCAGTGGTTCTACGCTAACCGTGCATCGTTGGATACCTGGAACAAATGCTCTATGGCATTTCCCTTCTAGGGAAGGCGAAGCAGTGGTTCTACGACAACCATGCAACGGTGGATACCTGGAACAAATGCTCTACGGCATTTCTCTCCAAATTCTTCCCGAAGGGCAAAACTAATGCCCTTCACATAAGAATCTTAAGCTTCTAGCAAAGAAGGGACGAGTCGATTCCTGAAGCATGGGAAATGCTACAGGAGTACGTGGCCGCCTATCCTCATCATGGGATGGACGACTGGCTGATCCTGCAGAATTTTTATAACGGACTCACTCCCTTGTCCCGGGATCACCTGGACGCTGCAGCTGGAGGGGCGTTCTTCTCCAAAACGGTCAGAGGTGTCGTCGATCTGATAGAGAAGATGGTTTCAAACATGGGCTAGAGCGAAGAACGACTCCAGACCCGCCAGTGTGGCATGCATACTGTCAAGGAGATAGAAATGCTGGCTGCTAAGCTTGACCTCCTCATGAATCGCCTTGAAGACCAAGAGAAGAACATGCCCCAAGGCACCGTTAAGGCCTTGGATGCACACATCACGTGCGAGGTCTACGGCAACTCGGGTCATTCCGAGACAGACTGTCTTGAGACCCGTGAAGAGGCGGTGTTCATGAACAATGGATATCATCCACAAGGAGGTCAGGGGTGGAACCAGGCCCGCCGTTTTACCAAGGAGGCAACAACAACAACAGTGGTAACTTCAATAACCAGCCTTTCTCGAAGGATCTCATCTTTGCACAAGCTAAAACTAATGATGCTTTAAGCAAGAAGCTAGCTGCCAATGATAAGATCTTAGAAAATATAAATGCTAAGCTAGAAGGATTCCAAATTAGATATCAGTACTATCTTCAAATAAAAATCCCATATACTTTTTTTTAAAAAAAATCTAATAATAATACGATTAAAATGGTTTTTCCAGTACACACATATAGGTCGTGGAGGTGCCAGAGACTCTGGATCCAGCGGCCGTCAACCCGCAATGTGCTAAGTCTCCAATCCCGCTCCCTACCAAAACTCTAGCATGGCCAAGTTTGAAATCAGTCATTACTGTGCCCGTCCGGAGCAATTACTTTGCCATCCTCAGGGAGAATACGGGTGCCATCCACCCACCCTCCTATGAGGCTACGAACGCGCAGCCTAGCACAAGGCGTCACCTCCGCACGTAGACCAATCGCGGTGGTCTTAATGCTACAAACGACAGATGGACTCAGGTAAAGGCCCATGGTCAGTGGAGGACGGCACGGCCTTCACATCCCCATTCAAGCTCAACGCCCACCCCACGTCCTCGCTTCGTGCCTTTTCAAGAGAAGACCTAGGGTAGGTGCTTCATCTGCCTAGATAAAAACCATCGTGCGTCCACCTGCAGAGACCCGGTCCGATGCTTCTCCTGCAGGCACTCAGTCCACTGGGTTCGCGATTGCGATTGCCGCACTACTGCGTGCCCTCGCCGTTGCTCCTTGCCACACAAATCCTCCATGCCCCGCCGCCCACACCTCCACCCCGTCCCTCATCAGCTTTGGCCGCCACACTGGAAAAGCTCTTAGCTGGCCTAGCCAGCCCACCCAGAGCGCCTGCCACCTCCGTCGCCGTGTGCCCTGACCGGGAATATGGCGCTTCTAGGAAATGCCACTACAAGGCCCATGCATGATGAATGCATCAACCCTTCCTCCTTCGCCCTTGAGCAGGAGCGTCGTGAGTAGGAGGAAATTGCTATGGTCTCCTGGGCAAAGAAGGCCCTGTCGACCACGACGGCCAAGTAGGTGGAGTAAGTGCTAAAGGATGAGTTCGACCTACGCGGTGATGTGGTGGCGGTGACGAAACACCACCCAAAGGCTTTCCTCATAAAGTTCCTCCATAGTCGACACTCCGCCGACGCACTCTGGAAGGGGTACGACAATCGTTGGGGTATCGAGATACACTTCATCAAGTGGAGGAGCCTCAAGGATGCGCTCGACACAGCCCTCATGTTTTGTGTGTGCCTAGTGCTCGATAGAGTTCCCCGCCATGCTTGGATCCTAGACATCATCAAACAAGTCATTGCCCGCCGATGCGCCTTGGAATCAGTTGATATGAACCTCGTGCAGCCGGTCGACACGCGCTTCATCAAGCTCTGGACATGGATGGCGAACCCGAGCATGATCCCTAAACACGTTTGGCTCATCTTCACCAAAAAAGTGTGGGATGGCTCGACGAAGTCCGTCTTGGTGATAGAGACATCGCTAGAACAATGGCAACACGGCGACAAGTATCCGGTGCTCCTCCACTACGACGAAATCCATGACAACACCACGGTGACCGTCGACCTCCTCAACCCGGTCAAGTGCGAGCCAATGAAGAGAAGCCTCCTGGCCTGGCACCTTGGGGTGATCGATGGCGAGCAGTCGCTGGCCTGCGTGTTTGAGGAGTTCCCCCATCACCCATAGCCGCCGCGTCTCCCCAAGGAGCACAATGGGCTGCGAAGTGGAAACAAGGATAAGGGCCGCAAGGAGAGCAGTAGCTGCCGAAGCTGCTACAACGATGACCACCCCGACAAGCTATGGGACCATCCCTGACGCCGGTCATACCGCGACGACGACAAAGACGATAGAGGCAAGGACGTGGGGCGTGGCAGTGAATCAAATAGATGCGAGGGGCTCAACGGTGCGCTCCAGCACACGTACTCGCTGCGGTGTTGAATGCTGGAGAAAGCAGCCGCCACGGCATACGTCATGATGACAGCGGTGACGGTGGCCAATGAGCTGCTGGTCCTCCCTCCCGTGCACAAGAGCCTGCCAACCGATGAAGATCTACATGCACGCGAATTTAACAAGTTTTTTCCACCTTAAGCTCTCAGCCTTGCAACATTCTACAGCTATCACGGTGTGAACCCTCAGCCCCTCCATGGTCGTTGACCGCCTTGCTACGATCATGGGAAAGCTCTCACTACACATGCTAGGCAGTGAAGCCTGGTCCGGAGCAACCATCCCGGTTCGCAAGGTCTTTAAGCGCATCAAGACCGATCTAGAAGGGCCTCCATCGTTGTGGGAGGTTGATGATGCCCTTTAGGAAAGGCAGGAGCGGGGCCTCCTTGTGGACGACCCGGAGGGACCGGAGCTGATAGCTTTCACATTGCCTGGAGCAGGAGAAGCGCCACCGACCGCTGGGGACGACACCCAGCAGTTGCTGCTACAGCAGCTCACCTCGCCATCGCCGGCGTGAACTCCAATGCAACCGATGGACGCCGGGACCAGAACAGATGGCACCAGAGCAACCGGCCCTGAGGAATGCTGAGGATGATGACGACAATGGAGAGACCCTATGCGCCTTGTTCAAGCCAGTGGCCCTAGCAATCCTGCCTATGCCACGGGTGCCCTATCC